CTGAGTCGTCGACCTCACTCTCCCTTCCCATTCCCACACCCCAGCCGCTGTCCGAGCCGGTCAGCAGACTGGAGTGGGGAATGGGCGCGGTGGCTGTCATGGTCGACTGACCATGACTGCGCGCGCCACGGCACGACCTGGCCCCCATGCACACAAACACCAGGATTTCACACAGCGGGGGTTGAACGGTGTGTCTCTCACTTGCGTGAGAGTGCCGTGGAAGGTACTGTTTCAGTCCGTCCCCAGCCCATCAGTCCGCCACTCCACACAACACACACACACACAACGCGACGAACTGCGTGAGCCGAGAGCGGGCGTCAATCAGCAAACTTCCCATCCACGACGCTAGATGTGTCGGGATAGACTCGGACTCGAGTCACCCGTGCAGCCGAAGACGCATGGGGACCTTGTCGAGATGCGGACTTCCCACTTGCGTGGGAGGTGGCAGTTGGGTGCATGAGGTATGTGAGTGTTGATGTCTAGGGGGTGATGGTAGTGTGAGGTGGGGAGTGAGTGAATGTGTGGTGTGACTGGCGGTTGTCTACCGCAGGTCGTCGTGGATTCGCATGTGGCTGAATAGGCCCATGCGATGCCTGAAAGTGCGAGGGCAGTGAGGGCAGTTGAGACGAGCTTGGTGGGTATAGGTGGGTGCTCCAGGCACTGGTTCGCCAGTCTCTGTGTGATGGATTCGCAAGTGACCGACCAGGCCGATGCGTGAGGTGAATGTGCGTGGACAGTGTGGGCACGAGAAGTCGGCGGTGTCAGTGTCAGCTAAAGAGGAGGCGGTGGTGGTGCTGGCGCAGACGGATGGAGCGAGGGTGGGGGTGTGCACGGTGGATGTGCTGGATGTGGTGGGTGTGTCGGGAGTGCGGTCAAGGCCGCTCTTGTTGATGCGCACGTGGCCAAATAGGCCAATGCGATGCGTGAAGGTACGAGGGCAGTGTGGGCGGTGGAGGCGAGCGCGGTGTGTGTAGGTTGGTGCTTCAGGCACTGGTTCGCCAGTCTCTGTGCGGTGGATTCGCAAGTGACCGTCCAGGCCGATACGTGAGGTGAAGGTGCGGTCGCAGTGAGGGCAGGTGTAGTTCTGATCCTCATCCCTGGAGTCGGGGGATGTGGTGGTAGTGCCGGTTGTTGCGCGCGGGACGTTGTTGGAGCAGTGGACGAGGAGGAGGAGGAGGAGGATGGAAGTGGTGGGTCAGAAGAATTCTCAGAGTTAATTGGTGGCGGAGAGGAAGAGGAAGATGCGGGCGGGAGGACGATGGTTGGTGCAGTTCGAGAGGCGCAGTTAGTCCGAAGATTTCCAACAAGTCCGATTCGAGCCCGGAATGTCCGTTGACATCGAGGACACGTTGGAAGCGGTTGTGCGGCGGCGTTGCTGACTGGGCGAATTTGTGATTTGCGGGCTTCGCGTTTCGCTTTGGCGGCAGCGATGCGGTTGGCTTCATAGATCGGAGCGCCTGTCTTTACTGTCCTCCTCCAGGCCGGTCGATCGAGTGCAAGCTCCTTCCAGTTGGTCGGGTTGATTTGCAGGCGCTTCAGGGAGGACTTCAGAGTATCCTTGTAACGGCGAATCTGGCCTCCTTGACGACGAGAACCCGTCGCGACGTCTCCGTAGAAGAATCGTTTGGGTAGTCGCTCGTCGTCCATGCGCACCAGGTGGCCGCTCCAGCGCAGCTGCATTTGCCTCAGTATGGCGTTGATGCTGGGGATTCCCGTCCGTTCCAGCACATCAGTGTCGGGCATTCGATCTTGCCACTTCAGCCTCAGGATGCGACGAAGACAACTGAGGTGGAAGTGGTTCAGACGGCGTGCCTGCTTTGCGTACACCGTCCAAGTCTCCGCTCCATACAGTAGTGTCGGCAGGATGACGGCCTTGTAATCTTTACCTTCGTGCTCAGTTGAAGACCGTGGCGATTCCAAACTGTGTTTTGGAGACGACCGAAGGCTTGGCTGGCTTTCGAGATCCTGTTGGCGACTTCGTCGTCGATCTTGTTGTTGCGGGAGAGAGTTCTGCCCAGGTACGGGAAGTTCTCCACCACTTGCAGTTGGGTTCCGTTCACGCTGATTTGCGGCGGCGCGTTGGGGGATGTGGCGGTATATAACGGATTATAGACGGACATCGTCAGGGCAGAAAAAATGTCAACCTTGAGGGGTAGGTATGCGGGTCAGACAGGACTGACCTGCATGTGGTATTGTATATGGGACTCAGGACGGACACTGTCAGGGCAGAACTGATACGCCGGATGAGATTATTCGCGTCAAAGTGGCAAGACGAGAGGGACCCAGACGCGATCGGCCACAATCCGCTTCGAGCCCATCCGAGGAGTTGGGAAAGGAATTGGGACTGGGATTTACTCGTCTTCCCAAGTTTTGACATTTCGATCACCCGTCTCTACCCAGAGTTACGCCTTGTCGAAATAAATCGAGTAATCAGTTTAAAAGTGCAAGCAACCTCCGTTTGCACGCATCCCATTACCGGTGATATCTTCATCCTTCACTGAGGCTTTCAGGAAACAACAATCCGTAGTTTATCAAAGCATCCAGCTCGGTTTATTTCAGATTCCCACGAATACCGGCGCAATCGTGCTTCCGAAGTTAATCTTCCGTCGAAGAAGTGCTCGATAACCGGCAGAAAGTGAAGACTACTTAGAACCTGTCTGCAAAGGCTAAGTCGTTCTTTGTTTCCAATCGACATTTTATACTGAAATCCGTTTGGAAAAAAAGGTTTACTTTGTGCTCACTAAAGTATCCACTTAGCAATTGAAGTCGCCCATTATAAATTAATGCAATCGCAAAGATATCTTGCTAGCATGGAAAATGCATAAGTCCATGACACTACTACGTGTGACAAAAGCCCGCATTACTCGGTATTCGAACCACGGACCACTCATGCGAGAACTGACGCCCTTAACCGTTCAGCCACGCACCGATGTCCACGAAAATAATAAATACTCAGGAAAAGGCGGCCCATCACTTATTTGTAAACCGTTCTACATTTACTGTGATAAAAATTTGCCGGAAATACTCAACTCGCACTCAGTTGGACGTGATGGACCACCGACCACCAACCCTGAGGAACGCAGTTCACTGCTGATGTCAGTCACAAATAAGCTAAATACTGACATGTCGACACGCTGTGATGGATGTCGAGAACTCACCACCCGAGTTTTGAAACTAGAAGCAGACGTCGACCTCCTCACTGAAATAATAGCGTCACTTCTTATGTATAACAAAATTAACCCCCCCTGAATACAATACAAAGGACATGAAAAACATCAATGAGCCGGACCATATGAACCTCAAGAGACCAGTAAAAGGTTAAAGACGTAGCGTTCAGCGAAACAAGAGGCAACACACGAAGTCACTAGACGAGTCTTCGGACTAAACCGAACTGGACGGCAATAAAAATAAGGCAGACAGAGATGAAACTGGCTCTCGCATTTCCATAAATTTGACAATTCTGGATCATGCAGAGTCCGTCTGCACCAAAACAAAACAACGATCGACAACCCCAAAACACCTGTAGAAAGTGGTCGTATGGACATACGTACACAAGGTCAAGGCGCGCAGCTTAATTTCAAAGATAAGTGAAGCTTTGCATTTATCTGGATATTCTTAAGCAACTAATGCCTGTTTTTAACTTGAGCCCCTTTTAAAAGTCACCTTTCAATACCAGATATAATTTTTCCCAGTTTTATTTGACAGTCTTGCAAAATGGTCGTATTTTGTAAAAAACCTTTGTAGTGACTCCTTTCCCTACTATCTCTTTCTATTTTTCGTAGTTAAATAACAGTAGCACTGGCTATTAAGTGCGATTTTCCGTACGTTGGCAACGTGTTGACCCTTCTTCTGTAACGAAAAACTTTTCATGTCTGTAATGCCCCGCAGAGCACGTGCTAAACGGCGAAAGCTTGCGACCTCCCCACCGTCTCTGGGTGCTAAAATCGTGACTGAAGACATTGCAGGTGCCAGCGTATGTTCTTCGCCGTCCGCAGATCTGATTAACTTACAAATCCCTTTAGTACATGTAGAACCTCTTGACGCTTCAGGCGTCCAAAAATACGCCTCTGCTAGTCGTAGCAGGCCATCAGCCGGCGAAATAGTCGACCAGTTGATTTATGGCGACATAAACAGCACTTCTGAAAAAGTAATTGAACAAGCTTTTAAACGTATTGAGGTAATAAGTTCTGAACCTGCGGTGAGAATTAAACGTAAGCATAATTTCGTACTGCGAAACATTCCGAGCCACTTATCTGCTATGGAGGGAGCGCATGTGTTCCTACAAAGTTCAGTGTCGCACAAGCTAGGCGACTTCGCTCCCTTAGCCGTAATGCGCCGATAATAGTTACCCTTTTCTCCATGATAGAAGTCGATTTATCTAGTCGAGTAGGAAGATAAGAAGAGACTTCTGTCGTAAATGGCGCTGCTCCGTTTCGCCAGACCTCACACCGCTGCAGCGAAGATTGAATAAAGTAAAATTGGCAAAAACCAGCACCGAGATAATGACACCTACTGTCAGTCTGAATAAGTCCTCTACAACACCATCTGCCGCATCTGCACATCACGGCATAGTCAATTCCGTAGGGAATTCGACTACTTTTAATGCTGAGCTCTTTAAACACACCATCACGCCTGGTATAAACACGCCTCTATCGACTCCCCCAGCAACCCATAGTAAGCTTAAGCATGTGTCTAAGTCAAAGGCAAATCCAATTGCTGTCTCAGCCACTCGGACACCCAATAAATCTAGCACCATTATAAAATCTTTTCCTCCACAATCGGCAAACAGTGCCTCAAATACCCCGACTCAAAACGTAGCGGGTTTGCAACTGCCCCCCAGCCCTCATATCGAGGCATTTAGGCCGAATATGCCGATTTTTCCGCCGTTTACTAGAACTCCTGCTCCAATGGAAACAATGCGTCCCCCACCCCGTAACTTGTTTCATCCACGGCCGTTTTACCAATTTATTCCCCATGATAATGTCCATATTAGATCAGTTAACTCATCCGATCCTCAGTTCGTTCCGGTGGGATTGTGTTGCCATATATGGCCCTCGGATTTCCAGCTAATAATAAGTTAGCTAACAGTGGTTACCAGATCACCTGCCCGTCATTCCCTCCCACAAGTCCTGCCACGTTTTATTTACTACAGAATCTTTTGATACCACAAAATGTTTTGCAGAACCGGATGGTTGCATCCGGACCGTTTGCTCCGTGGGCAGACAAGCACTGGACGATGTAACCCACCTCCCTCAGAAACTAACAGCCTTTCCCCTCAAACTTTTCTTTTAAATGCCAGATCCTTGCTTAATAAGATGTCTTTGCTTCAGAATCTGGTGTTCGTCCATTGTCCAGATATTGTTTTAGTAACTCAGACGTGGGCATCCGCCTCCGTAGCTGACTCCGAACTCTCTCTTCTAGGCTATAACTGCATCCAAAATGACTCTCGAGACAGCCGTGGTGGAGGCAGTTGCGTCTACGTTAAGCAAACACTTACATTTTTGCCGTAGGACCTCCCGCATTTTTCCGCAGTAGAAGGCAGCTGCTGGCTCCCAAACAAGAACACAGGGGTCACTTCGGCCATGGTGCGTGTGCGATTTCAATCCGAGAATGCAACTATCATCCCTAGTGATGATGAGGTCCAAACAACTGGACTGCTGTCCATCTTTGAATAGACTGTCCATTTTAATATGTTGGGTAAGGAACTCACTTGTGATCAGTTGCATAAATCTCTGTTCGAAGGAGTTTTCTGATCACGTGCAATGCATCAAATCCCACTATATGTCTGGACAGTTGAAGTCACCGAGCAGCATTATGTGTTTGCTTCGACAAATTTCTTTAATCTCGGTGATAAATGCATCGTCCGCATCCGTCTGCTGGCTTGGCGGTCTGTAAACCAGGGCCAGATGGAGGCTTGGATGGTTTCGCACCTTCAAGTAACAACTGACAATTTCACAATCTAAGTTCAGCGAATATTCCCATGTTGCAATTGAAAAGTCAAATTGGCGAACACGTGTTTTCAGTAACTCTTCATCAGGCCAAAACG